GCCAGGATGGTCTCGATCTCCTGACCTCGTGATCCGCCCATCTCGGCCTCCCAAAGTGCTGGGATTACAGGCTTGAGCCACCGCGCCCGGCCACAACCTCTTAAAGTGTAGGAAAGGAGTACATCTGGGAGAGGTAAAGCAGGAGAAGCTACCAAGTTTCTAGAAAATACTGGCCTCAGACCCCGTACGTGGTACGAAGTAGATACTCAATGAATCAAATCCCTGGCACTGGTAATTGATGTGTGAGTCCAGGACAGTTGGCATGATTAGTAGACTTAAATTAGTGCTGGTGGCTCCCATGGGGCATTACTGCTTCCATTTGCCTTTCTTCTTTTGTCCGTATCAGTATATTACAGCATATGGTCTGCACATTATCTATATCAGAATTCATTAGCTGAGATAATGGTTAAAAATTCAGATTCTTGGAATCCTATCCTCAGAGATTCTGATTCAGTAGATATGGGGTGAGGCCTAGGAATCTGACGTTTGTTTTTTTTTGGGGGGGGTGGGGCTGGGGAATCTGAGTTGTTAACAGGTACACCTGATGAATATCTCACCCCCTAGGATTGAGAATTGTCCTATAGAACCTTCTGGTACAGAACCTGCTCCCTAGATGCACCCCAGATGTTTGCATCTCTGTGCCTTCATTCAGTTTCTCTCTACCTCAGTGTTTTTCCTCTTCTCTGAGCGCGCCCTGCCCAACTCAAGGTTCTTAAAGGGTCGTCTCTTTTGTGGCACCTCCCCAAACCATGCCAACATGGATGTCTCACACCCCCGATGAAAACAGTTAATGCTCAGGCCAGTGATTCCCAAAGTGTGACTCGAGCTTCTCTAGAGTCTGCAGTGGTCTGATAAACACATTCATGAGCAGTTTAAATCTAACAGGATATTCTGTATTAGAGAAACCTGCTTGAATTTATTTAACTCTGTAACTTCCCTAACTTCCTCAAACACAAAAAGTTTATTTTTCCCATAGAACATTTTATTCCATAGAACCAATATTTGGAGATACTGGCATGTATCATTTCGTTGGGAACTATTAGATCATTAATTCTCTTGTAACTATTACTGTGAATTATGACAGATGGCAGTTACTGATGATGACTGAGGACAAAGGCTAAGACTGTTAGGCAGATTTATTGTGGACGTTTGTAGAAAGGCTCTTAGCAATGTTCAGAACTACGAAAGGAAGGAGATGACAAAAATTGCAGAGAACAGGGAATTTGGAAAACACTTTAAATGCTAAGTCCCATTTTAACATTTCTAGCCATTTCTGAGAACTTTATTTTAAAAGTGTTTGATTTTACATTTTTGAACTTAGAGTTTTATTATTTTCGGGAACTTATTTTCTGTCTCTTTTCCTTACAGAGTGTTAAAAGCTATGGAAGGAAAATGGATAACAGATCAGTTGGTAAGTTGTAATACATGTTCTTTTTCTTGGGGCTACATGTTTTTAAATTGGTAGAGCTTATAAAATCATTTTTAATTAAAATTTTTAAAAAATCATATTTGGCAGTCCTCTACTTAATCCACTTGTAGCGTGGCCTTCTCAAATATTTTGTCTAGTTACCAAAAATGGGGTATCGGCAATTAATTATGGAGCCATCATAAAGGATGATTTTGAAATCTGGGGTGTTGACATAGAAAAACAAAAACAGTGGGCTATTATCCTTTTTGCAGAAATTATTTATCATACACACTCCAAATGGATTAACGATTAAATGTGTCAAAGAAAATATGGGTGGGTATTTACATAATCTTAGAGTGGGGAGAACCTTTATAAACCATAGAGGAAAGCATTTTGACAGATTACATAAGAGTTTAAAACTTCTGGCCAGGTGCAAGGGCTCATGCCTGTAATCCCAGCTACTTGGGAGGCTGAGGCAGGAGAATCACTTGAACCTGGGAGGCAGAGGCTGCAGTGAGCCAAGATTGCCTCACAGCGCTCCGGCCTGGGCAACAAAGTGAGACTTCCTCAAAAAAAAAAAAAAAAAAAATTTAACAATTAAAGAGTTTGGGGAAGGCGTGGCAGCAGCCAGGCAGCCCAGCTTTGCTAAGGCTCTAGAGGCGCTGTGCCTCGCAGGCGCTCGGCACCTGCCTTCCCTGCAGCCGGCATGCCCAAGAGGAAGGTCAGTTCCACTGAAGGGGCCACAAAGGAAGAGCCCAAGAGGAGATCTGCACGGTTATCAGCTGAACTCGCTCCTGCAGAAGTGGAAATGAAGCTGAGAAAGCAGCAGGAAAGGATAAATCTTCAGACAAAAAAGTGCAAACAAAAGGGAAAAGGGGAGCAAAGGGGGGAAAGTCAGAAGTGGCTAACCAAGAAACTGAAGATTTACCTGCAGAAAACGAGAAACTAAAACTGAGGAGAGCCCCTTTTAAGTGTCGGTGCTTTTTTTTAAGAGGTGGAATCATTCTCTGATTGTTTACTTTTTGGTACAACCAGAAGATAGTGTGGGATATTGAGTTATGGGAGGCTTTGACTGTCTTGGGTGTCAGCTTAACATTCCATAGTTGGGGGGTTAATTTTTATATCCTGTAATGCCAAGCATACTAAATGGCACTATGGAGTCACAGTCCTGCATTTAATGTATTGAACATCTGTTCCCATGTTGTTTTTTAGTAGAACTGTTTCCTAAAGAAAACCGCTCCTTGATGATGGCTCTCCCTGTCACAATTTCGTGCACTCTGTGAGCTCTTTGGTCCTGGTAGTCCTGTTTTCCTAATAACTTTGATACTGTGCTATGAAAGATTGAAAATTTGAATATGTAGTGTACATGCTATTCGGTTGTGAATTGGTGGGACATACGTAACAGCTTATCAACGTGTGAAGATACTGGTACTTGATGACCTCATAAGGAAAATTTGCTTCCAGATTTTAAGCTGGAAAGTCACTGGAATAACTTTAAAAAAGAATTAAAATACATGGCTTTTAGATTTTTGGTACGTATATTAAGAATTGGGTACAGATTGCAATGTCTGTGTACTGATCTTCGGCACAACCAATGAAATCTCAATTACAAAAGAAAAAAAGGGCCAGGCGCGGTGGCTCACTCCCGTAACCCCAGCACTTTGGGAGGCGGAGGCAGGCAGATCACGAGGTCAGGAGTTCGAGACCAGCCTGATCAATATAGTGAAACCCCGTCTCTACTAAAAATACAAAAATTAGCCGGGCATGGTGGCAGGCGCCTGTAAGCCCAGCTGCTCGGGAGGCTGAGGCAGGAGAATCGCTTGAACCTGAGAGGCAGGTTGTAGTGAGGCGAGATGGTGCCACAGCACTCCAGCCTGGGTGACAGAGTGAGACTCTCAAAAAAAAGAGGAAATACTCATGAATAGAGATTTATGGGTAAAAAAAGCTGATTATAGCATAATAGTGAAGCTAAATATATAAATAAATGTTCATCAATCTGGATGAGATAAAAAATTATACTGAGCTGGGCGTGGTGGCTCACGCCTATAATCCCAGCACTTTGGGAGGCTGAGGCAGGCGGATCACGAGGCCAGGAGTTCGAGACCAGCCTGACCAACATGGTGAAATGCTGTTTCTACTAAAAATACAAAAATTAGCCGGGCATGGTGGCACATGCCTGTAATCCCAGCTACTCAGGAGGCCGTGGCAGGAGGATCACTTGGACCTGGGAGGCGGAGGTCACAGTGAGCCGAGATTGTGCCACTGTACTCCAGCCTGGGCCACAGAGCAAGACATTTCAAAAAAAAAAAAGTTACGATACTGTGTAGTTGGTAAAAAGAATGTGGTTAGTCTACATGCTGTGGAATGATGTCCAAGTTGTATTTATTAATGAAAAAAAAAGTAAACTAGGATGAAGTATGAGTCCATTTATGTGAATATGTATTTTAAATATAAATAGACTCATAAAATCTGGGCTGGGTGTTGTGGCGCATGCCTGTAATCTCAGCACTTTGGGAGGCCGAGATGGACTGCTCGAGCCCAGGAATTCAAAACCACCCTTGGAAACATGGCAAAACCCCACATCTACAAAAACAAACAAACAAACAAACAAAAACCAAAAATTAGCCAGGCATGGAGTCCCAGCTACTCAGGAAGTTGAGGTGGGAGAATCACTTGAGCCAGGGAGGTCAAGACTGAAGTGAGCTGTAATCATGCCACTGTACTCTATCCTGGGCAACAGAGTGAGACCCCAACTCAAAAAAAAAAAAAAAAAAACCCTGAAAAGATACACATTAAACTTTAATTTTAAAGATTACCCCTGAGAAATGGGAAGGAGTCAGGCTAACAGTCACATTTTCTGTTTTTCTTCTGTAATGTGTAATTTTTTTTCACAACAGTAAACATTATTCATACATTTCATTATACTTAAAATTTGTGATAGAAGTGAATTTTGCTTATTTTAACTCTGAATGTTTTAGTAAACAAAATATGTTCTGTGGAAGATTTTTCTGAGTTCTGTCATGTTTCTAGTTTTTCTATCTAAGACCTCAATATTCATTTCTAAAGACTCTTACTACCTTTTAAAATTGAGCATTGGTCATATCTGATATATTTCTGAACCCCTCAGTCCCTGTGGATCTGTTTTTGAATATCTGACTCTATTCTAGAGGTTAGAGTTTCGCTCACCATAACATCCCTGTAATCTGTTCTGTATCTCTTACCATCAGACTACTTAGATAAGTGTAACACCATAAACATTTGAGCATTGTTTTAAGCTTTTAATTTTCCACGTTTACAGAGGCATTAGAGAATATTCATTCTTTTTAACTAACTAGTAGATCCCCTCTTAACTAACTAGTAGATCCCCTCTTTTTTTTTTTCTTTTTTTTTTTTTTTTTTTTTGAGATAGAGTCTTGCTCTGTCACCCAGGCTGGAGTGCCGTGGCACAATCTCGGCTCACTGCAACCTCTGCCTCCTGGGCTCAAGCGATTCTCCCACCTCAGCCTCCCTAGTAGCTGGTACTATAGGTGCATGTCACCACACCTGGCTAATTTTTTTTATTTTTGGTAGAGATAGGGTTTCACCATGTTGCTCAGGCTGGCCTCAAACTCCTGAGCTCAAGTGATGTGCCTGCCTCAGCTTCCCAAAGTCTAGGATGACAGGTGTGAGTCACTGCACCGGGCCATAGATCCTATTTTTATTGATCCTTTGTTCACTTTAAGGCAGGGGTCCCCAACCCCCAGGCAACAAGCTACTGGTTTGTGGCCTGTTAGGAACCAGGCCACAGAGCAGGAGGTGAGTAGGGCGAGTGAGCATTACCGCCTGAGCTCCACCTCCTGTCGGATCAGTGGTGGCATTAGTTTCCCATAGGAATGCAAACTCCATTATGAACTGCATATGGGAGGGATCTAGCTTGTGCACTCCTTATGAGAATCTAAAGCCTGATGATCTGAGGTGGGACAGTTTCATCCCTGTAAACCATCCCCCACCCTGTCTGTGGAAAAATTGTCTTCCACAATTGTCCCTGGTGCCAGAAAGGTTGGGGACTGCTGCTTTAGGGGATGCTGAACCTAACTTCTAGTAATATAAAGAGGCAATTTCATGTTTCATGTAATTTTCTGAGGCTTTTTTAGGAAATCTTACTTGAGTTATGCACTGAAAAAATAATGTTTTTTGCCATTTTTATTAACTTGCAAGTACTGTTTGCTTATTGGGTGAGATGACTCGGTTATGTTAACCGTCTCCTCAGTAACTAGAACTAGAGGTTTGGAGCCGTGTGTCAGTAGGACCCTATGTGATGATGCTTGACTTCTGTATCTGCACTGTTCAGTCCAGTAGCCACTAGCCATGTGTGATGTCAGACATTTGACATGAGGGCAGTGTGAGTAAGGAACTGAATTTTTGATTTTTGATTTTTGATTTTTGATTTAAATTGAGTTTTAAGTAACCACATGTGGCTAGTAGCTATATAGTAGAGCGGGTTTAGACAATGTCCTTCAACTTTTTTCTCTTTGCTTACTGATACATACAAAAGAGCTATGTGAATTTTTTTCATGTAATTTCCCTTTCCTTTTTTTTTTTTTTTTTTTTTTTGACGGAGTCTCACTCTTGCCAGGCTGGAGTACAATGGCGCGATCTTGGCTCACTGCAACCTCCGCCTCCCTGGTTCAAGCGATTGTCCTGCCTCAGCCTCCCGAGTAGCTGGGATTACAGGCATGTGCCACCATGCCCAGCTAATTTTTGTATTTTTTTTAGTAGAGACAGGGTTTCACCATGTTGGCCAGGATGATCTTGATCTCCTGACCTCGTGATCTGCCCGCCTCGGCCTCCCAAAGTGTTGGGATTACAGGCATGAGCCACCACACCTGGCCTAATTTCTCTTTTCTCTTCATTGAACTAGAAAAACATTGTTCTGTTTTTCATAATGTTCCATAGTTACAAAAGCTATAACAAACATAATTATATTGGTCTTTTTCTTCATTATGTTTTCTGACATATCTGAAAACAAGCAGTGATCCCAGGTAGATAATCATATTAATCATAGGAGACCAACGTTTGTGATATTTATTACATGCTTTTTTCAGAGATGGAAAATAATGTCCTGCAAGATGAGGATTGAACAGTTAAAACAAACAATATGTAAAGGAAACGAAGAAATGGAGAAAAGTAAGTATATCGCGTCCTTCCTTCCAGCCCTAGAAAGTGCCCATGTGGAATTTCATGTGATTAATAAACTAGAGGGACACAGAAAGAGAGGGAGGGGTGGGGCAGTGGCAACTTGGAGAATTTTGATACTCGCCTTCATCTTTCCTTGTAAAACATTTGTATAAGGAATTTTTAAAAATTAAATACACAATTATAGAGGCCTTAAATAACCAGATTCTTTTCTCAATTAAAAAAGTTGGCCAGGCACGGTAGCTTATGCCTGTAATCCCAGCACTTTGGGAGGCTGAGGTGGGTGGATCACCTGAGGTCAGGAGTTCGAGACCAGCCTGGCCAACATGATGAAACCCCATCTCTACTGAAAATAGAAGAATTAGCCGGGCATGGAGGCCTGCACCTGTAGTCCCAGCTACTTGGGAGGCTGAGGCAGGAGACTCACTTGAACCTGGGAGGCAGAAGTTGCAGTGAGCCCAGATCACATGACTGCACTTCAGCCTGGACCACAGAGCAAGACTCTGTCTAGTAAATAAATAAGTAAATAAATGTTGGCTAGGATCCCTGCCATTCATTCATTAATTCAACAAACATTCAACAAGCCCCTACTATATACCAAGCCCCATACTGTGCACCAGGAATACGGAGATGAATAGACTCCAGTCTGGAAGCAAAGAGACTACAGCCGTAAAAACTGTTAGTTTCTACAACTGTCTTCCCATTCGGATCTCAAGAAGTTACTGAGGGGTCTCTTCTTGCTATGGTACTAGGCTGTAACGGCTCGATGAAAAAAATAATGAAAGGGATAGAGGAGTGGGGGGCTGGGAGAGTGTCCAAAGGAGGAATTTCTAGTCGAAATCAGGGAAACTCCAAAGAAACACGGCAACATGTATATCTGAGCGACTAATAATTTAAAAGACGACCTTTATTAAGTGCTTTCTCCATAGCTATTACAAAGGTACCCGCTTTCCTTGGATTGTCTAGATTCTTCTGGCAACGTGGTCCTGGGCACAAGCGTCCTCTTCTCCGGACCTCATCAGTGCATTGTTACACGAAGAAAGTAGCACCGGGCGCTCAGTTCTGT